CCCCGCCTGGCCACTGGCAGCGCGGGGGGCGGCAGGGCCCGCACTGGGCACACGGGAGCGCCGGAGCCAGCGCCGGGTCAGTGCTGCCAGGGGGGACCTGCGTGTCCCCCCGGCGCCCGGACGAGCCCACGCTGGCAGCCGTGGGCCCTGCACAGGGCACCTGGATCGCAGTCATCCCAGAGGGTCCCACGCCCATGCCGAGCAGGAGGAGGAAGAGCAGGAGGAGGTAGAAGAGTGGGAGGAGGAGGAAGAGCAAGGAAAGGAGAAGGAGGAAGAGCAGGAGAAAGAGGAGAAGGAGGAGGAAGAGCAGAGAGAGGAGGAGGAGCAGGAAGAAGAGCAGAATCAGGGGGAGGAGGAAGAGCAAGAGCAGGAGGAGGACGCAGAGCAGGGGGAGGCAGCTCCCCTGGCACCTTTTGGGCACCAGATCCAGGCGAGAGGAAGCCAATGTCTCACTCACTGCACAGGTCTGGGGAGGCCCCTGGTCGAGGGCACGTGTGGTGGAGCGCTGGGGATGGTGCCCGGTGACGCACAGGTACGCGAAGAGAGTGGAATGCACATGGAGCGCGCACGGAGCACATGTGGAGCGCACACGGAGCGCACGCAGAGCACATGTGGAGCGCACACGGAGCGCACGCAGAGCACATGTGGAGCGCACACGGAGCACACACAGAGCTCATGTGGAGCGCAGTGCATGAGCAATCCGCAAACCCACCCAGCCACGAGCAGCACCCAGACCCCCTGCTCCACAAAGTTAATTTGCGAAGAGGAGGTGAAGCCCCTGTGCTGTGGGGGTTTCTGCAGCGCTTTGGGGCCCTGCGTTTCCCCTGTGTGGCCCTAACGTGGCCGTAACCCCCCAGCAACCCGCGCGTTACTGCTGGTTTTGCAGCAGCTTTCAGCAGCTCAAGGTGCTTTGCACACAAAGGGCGCTGCTTGTTCGTACCAAAGCCTGGGTTCTGGAGGAACCAACCTCCTTCCCAACGGAGGAGCCTGGGCAGCTCCAGCTGCAGCCACCCAGCCCCAAAACCTCCTGGTTTTGCAAGTAGGGCTGCAAACTGCTCCAGGGCCGACGTCCCGGCGTCGCCCAGCCTGGGCGGCAGTGGGTTTGCAGGCCATGCACGGCCCTGCATCTCTCCCCTGCAGCGTCGCTTCAGGAATTACCATTATTTTGAACTCCTTCCCCCCGAGTTGCTCTGCGGGGTGCAGGTTATCCCGCGGGGAGCAGCGCTGCCGGGCCCCACCACTCGCCGTGTTTTGGGGTGGGATTGCGCGTTCTCGCCGTGCCCTGCGCGGGCAGGAGCGGCGCGAGGCAGCAGCGGGCATGTTTCTAAGCAACCTTGTTTTCCCACGGAAAGCTTCAGAATCGGGGCCTTTTCTTCCTCTTTTTTAATTTTTTTTTTATTTTTTTCCATTTTCCTTTAACATGTTCGTAAATACTACGAGCTGGTCCTGGGGAGCTCAGCAGGCTGCAGGAGCGAGGGAAGTGGGATCTGCGGCTCCCCAAGCCGGGAGTCGCTGCTTCCTTGAGCATCGACGAGGCCGACGAGGCTCCAGCACATGTGTGTGACATTCCTGTTTTGTTGGGAGCATCCTCAAGGCCCAGGGCAGAAATCCCTGGTGTGGTGCAGGTCCAAGGGGCTGCGAGCTCTGGCAGGGCAGGCGGGCACTGCGGCGGGAGGCTCCTTGGTGTGAACCCGGGCGCTCCCGGTCGCGTGCGCCGTGACGGGGCGGCTCGCCGCAGTGCAAGATGCAGAGCCGCTCGTTTCGCTTGGCAATTCTGTAGCTTCTGGGTGTTTCTGCTTGGTTGGCTTTCCCTGGGCTGGAAGGGGACCAAGGCTCCAGCGTTTTTTGGCTATTTCGGGCAGATTATTGATGCAATTGGTGACTTGGAGCATCTGAAGCACCCGGGGCGTGCGCGCGGAGGGGACCGTCCCCAGCGCCCCCAGCCACGTCTGCTGCTCGCGGGAGCGCGCGGCAGGGCGCAGATGGCAGCGGGGTCACCGCAGAGCCACTTGCAGCCTGCGGGCCCACATGCTTCCCATGCACTTCCCGCACACTTCCTGTGCGCTTCCTGTGCGCCCCTTGGAGCGCGCCGCGGGTTTCCTGGGAGTCGAGGCGGCCGCCGCTGTCCCCTCGCGTCCCGCTCGGCAGGTGCTGTGGGGGCGGCCGCTGTCGCCGCGGGGCGAGCGGAGAAGCTGCCATCGTGGCGCTTCCCCGGGCGCGATCCCACCCGGCCGGCGCGCGGGCACCTCGCGAAGCCGCCGCCGGCGGCCGCCCCGGCACCGCGGGGATGGTCCCTGCCGGGCGCCCCGCGTTCCCGTGTCCGGGGAACCCACACGGGCCAGCAAGCCTGGCCGGAGCAGCGGGAAGCGCGCCAGGGCTCGGGAGGAGCGCAGCGAACGTGCCGGGAAAGGTGGGCAGCAGCGGCGCGTCCCGGCAGGGCAGCTCGTCCCCAGGGCGGCCTCTGCTCCGCTGCGGCCCAACTGGGCTCTCCTTCAAGAGAGGAAACAAAAATGTCTATTTTTAGGGCCTGGTGGCGTAGGCAGAAAGCGCTGCCGCGCATCACGCCCAGGCTGGGGGCGGCAGGGGGTAGAGGAAGGTGGGAGGCCGAAGGCTGCGCCCGGCCCCGCTCCCTGGGGCACCAGGGACTTCACATGAAACAGCTACAAAAAGCGCCTTTTTTTTTGATTATTTTTTCTTGCTAGGTTGTGATTTGGGGCTTTTCTGCCACGTTCAGCTCCTGCTGCAAATAGCTCCTTTGGAGCAGGGAAAAGAGCAGCTGACGCTTGTGGCGCTGGGAGACCCGAGGCAGGGAGAGGGGCCCTGAATTGTGCCTGGATCTGGCAAAAAAAAAAAAAATGCAGAGCCCCGTGGTAGGAAAGGCCTGAGCAGGAGGGAGCGCTGGGCTCCTGATGGGGGACGAGGAGGCTGAGGATGAGGGTGAGGGTGAGGGTGAGGGGGAGCCCCACTCACTCGGCTTGCAGCATCGCGTGCTGCGTAAGGTGCCGCATCGGGCACCTTCCCTGCCTGTGGGAGAAGAGTTTTCCCACCGATGCTGCTTGGGGCCGGGGGCTGCGGGAATGGGGCCGGGGCACGGGAATGGGGCTGGGGCTGCGGGAATGGGGCGCATTTGCTGCTCTCAGAGTCTGAGTTTCTTCTTGGAGAGCCCGTTTTGAAGGGAGATGCGCTCGAGCCTGGCCTGGCATCCGGAGCCCGGTGGTTTTTGTTCAAGCCGGGGGTCCCTGCAGGATTCCTATTCATTTCCCGTCTTTCCTTCTCCTTGCAGAAACCTTGGCAAATCCGGCCTGCGCGTCTCGTGCCTCGGCCTGGGTGAGTGTCGCGCTGCGGTGCCGGGCGGCTCCCGAGCGCAGCGGGGATCCGTAGGGATGTGCCTGGGAGAGGGGGGGACCTGCAGTGTGCCCCAGTGGCGCGGGCCCGAGGAATGTGGCCGCATTCCTGGCCTGAGGAATGTGGCTGCATTCCTGGCTCCCATCCGTATCTCCTGGCAGGAGCCTCTCCAGCTTGAGGCGCATCCCTGGCTTTTAGCAGTATCTTGGAGCTGCCGCAGGGATTCTCCTTCCCTGCGGCTTTGCCAGGAGCCAGCAGTGCTGCGGAGGGGACCGGGGTGGCAGGAGTCGTCCCCATGCGGCCCTTCCCGGGCACGGGGAGCCCGAGCATCCATAGTGCCCGATGGGAATGGGAGCTGCTGGCGGGAATTCCTGCCCTGGGAAGGGGAGGGGGTGTCGATGAGGCCCGTGTCCCGGGCACCCTGCCAGCACCTGGGAAATGTGGAGGTCGCTGCTCTTCCTGCCGCCTGCCTGCGTGGGACCTCTCCGCGGATTTAAGCAGGAAAAAAAAAAAGGAGGAAAAATCCCTTTGGGATAAGCAGGCTCAACCTTTCTCAGCAGAAAAGCCTTTAATGTATTCCTGTAAAAATAACACTTCTGAGGCTTTGCTGGGGAAAGCGGTTTTCATCCACTTTCTTTCCCCTACCTGCCTGAAGTGGCTCCGTGATGAGACCCCGTTTCCCACCGCGTCCCCGCTCCGGGAACCCCTCCCTGCACGTGGAGCGGGGCCGGCTCCGTGGAGCCGCTGCCCTCCTGGGATTAAGGGCAGAAACTGCAGCCCCCTTGGTGGGGGGCAGGAAGAGAAGAGAGGGAATTAATGTTGAGGGGGTGGAATCATCACCACGCCGTCCCGCGGGAAAGGGGTGGCTTGGGCTGCCAGGGCGCGCGGTGAGCCCTGTTTCGCCCCTGCAGGGACGTGGGTCACGTTCGGAGGGCAGATCTCGGACGAGGTAAGAGCGGTGCGCGGGGCGCCAGATCCGGCTTGTCCGGCGGCGCGGGGGCTTTTCCATGGCGGGACGGGGGCTTTTCTGTGTCGGGAGCCGGGATGAGTGCGGGGAGGGCGGTGGAGCCAGGGCACCTGCCACCAAACCCTGTGATTCCTGCGGCATTCCCGGGAACCGGCTCCAAGGCGGCGCCGCTGCCCGGGAGGGCCGCGCTCCTGGTGCCATGGGGATGAGATCAGCGGGTGTCCCGCGAGGCCGCCCGGCTTGTCCAGGAAAAAAACATTCGCAAGGAGCGAAAACGCCCAGGGCTGCTCCCACTGCCGCCCCTAGCAGATGGCTCCTGATCCCCGCTAATGCCGGTGCCGCGGGCCGGGCGCCGGGACGAGCGTTATTCACCGCGCGGAGAGGCTGCCGGCACCGTGACACTGGGCCCTGGAATAGCTCCTTCCGCGGGAGAGAGGCGCCGGGGCCGAGCTCAGAGCCTGGCTTGGACACGTTTGATCTCCGTTATCGCTCCTGCTTGCCATGGAGCCGGGTTTATTTCGGGCTTTTTAGTGTGCCCAGGCGCCGCAAAAAGGCTCCTTTTGCTTAGGGGCTGGAGCTGACGGTGCTCTCGCCCTCCTGGGATAAAAAAAGAAGGGATGAAAAGGGATGAAAAGGGAATGGGGAAAGGGCAGAGCCAGCACAGAGCCCTCGGGCAGCACTGGGCGCCACAAGGCCAGGGAGGAGATTCGTGACATCCTGCAAAGGCCGGAGGATCAGAGAAAATCTGGTCGGCTGGTCACGAAATAAAATAAAACAAAATAAGATGGAGAGGTCCCCGTCTTCTGCCTCGTGTTCCCTTCACAAGTGGGTTAGGAGGCTGCTCTGACAGCTCTGAGCTTCTCTGTGGATTATTTAAGGGTAAAAAAACCACCCGGGCTGAGGACAGGGGATTTCTGGACACTGCTGCCACTTTCAATTTCTAAGTATAATTTTATAAGACATAAATCTCTCCGGATTTGCTGCCTGTAGGGTATAATTTATGTTCTCCCGGGGGGGGAGGAAGGAATGTGCGCTGCAGGAATGTTAATGCACTTGAGGCTGCTGGAGGCCGATTCCTCCGCGCTGCGGTGGTGGAGGCTGCGCAGAGTCGGTGCTGAGCGCTCCTCACCAAGGGCTGCCTTCTGGTTGAGCGGGATGGACGTGGGATTTTGGGTGGCACAGGGGCAATCTGGAAGATCACAAGTGCTCTAGGGATGGACGTGGGCTTTTGGGAGACCTGGGGATGCACTGGAGGATCAGAAGTGCTCTAGGGATGGACGTGGGCTTTTGGGAGAC